TGGGAGAAGGCATGGAGGAAGGGGAGTTCTCCGAGGCCCGGGAGGATCTGGCGGCGCTGGAGAAGGATTATGAAGAGGTGGGCGTGGATTCCGTGGAAGCAGAGGCTGAAGAAGGAGAAGAATACTGAGTAGGCGTGAGCAGCTGGCAGAAATTCCCATCTTCTGCTGTCTTTTGCTACCCTGTAGCATGGCTGTCTCTAGGTTATTTACAATTAAAATTTCTATGTTAAATCTTCTTGTATCCATGCTATCTGTCTGCCCAGTCACAGGCAGGATCTTAGTTGTGTGGAAAGCTGGTCCAGGCTCCAATGCGCTCTGTGGAGTGAGCCTTGGGGAAAGCCCTGCTTTAATGTTTAAGAAACCACTGCTAAAGTGAGCTAACTTGAGGGCCATATTTCAGATCCAGGGTTTCAAAGCGTAAAGATTTAGCAACTTCTAAGAGAACTATCTCTCCCCCCCCCCCCGAACTTACTGTTGGGGAGGGGGCTTCTCCATTGATGACACATGGTGACTACAGTATTAAGAGATGAAGGGTTTCAATCCGAGGTCTGTGGGTAGGGAATGCCCATAAAGTCCCTACAGTGGTGGGTCAAATGTGACGTCAGTGATTGTGCAGGCTTGTATCTCAGCACTCTGAGACTGAGGCAGGAGGATTCCAACTTTCTGTCCAGCCTGGTAATTTACTGACTTAGCAAGTCTCTGTCTTATTGTCAAGGCCTGGAGACATAGGTATTTTGTGGTACAGAGATAAAATTTAGGCTCTTCGGAGTCTGTTATACCCCCAGTCTCCCCATCCCCATTTTGGGCAGTTCTAGGTTTGAGCCTAAGGCCCTCACACTGATCTTCATACCAACCCTTTTCAAGACAGGGTCTTGCTACACTGCCCATGCTAGCTTGCAGTCCTCCTCCTTCAGTCTCCCAGTGTTAAGATTATAAAAGTTTGCCACTGTTCCCTGGTTCCGTCCTTTTCCTTTTCTTTCCTTCCTTTATAAGGCCTTGCTATATAGTTTAGACCACCCTTGAACTCACGGTGATCCTTCTGCCTATGCCTACTAAGTGCTGTGATTATAGGTGTGCATCACCCTGCCTGGCTTTCCAGCCCTGTTTTATTGCACTTTGAGATAGGGTCTCCCACTAAAGTTGTTAGACTGGGATTGAATTTGCACACCTCCTGCTTCAGCCTAGAAAGGGATATCATGACCCATAGAAGGCCACAGTGCACCCACCTTGACCTCACTTTTCATGGTCATTTGGAGACATTGTTCTCCCTCAATGTTCAACCCACTGACATCCCTGGCCACCTCTGAACAGTCATGTAGGGAACACCACACTTTTCATCTCAAGGGGATCTTTTTTTTCACTTGTCCCTAGAAGATCTGGCACTGTACATAATCTCTCATGCACTGTATCCAGGGTCAAGAAGGCAATTACTGGTTTTGGCCCCTTGTTTTGGCTATAACAGAACCAGGACCAGTATACAGGACTCATGAAAGTCTTTATGCTTTTCTTTACAGTACAGGGGTTGAATCCAAGGCCTCCCACATGCTAAGCCCCACCGCTTAGCTACTTAATTCCCTATCTCTTATTTTCTTAGACAAGGTCTTGCTCCATTGCCCAGACTGGCCTCAAATTTGCAGTCTTGCCTTAGCTTCCTGAGCAACTGGAATAACAACATGCCTCAATGCTCAGCAATGTTTGTGCTTAATATATCTTAAAATTAATAGAGAATGTCTGATTCAGACCATCGGCATTTTGGAAACATTTAGCAGAAGGAAACAGCATGCTGCTTCTGTTGAGATTGATGGTACCCAGATGTGCCAGTCCCAGCTCCCACACTATGTGCTGCTGCGAGAGGTGCTCTTCCCAGGCCCGCCCCCCTTGGGCAGCCTGGTAGCACTGGGCTGGCGCGGCATTCTCTGGCTCGATCCTTCTCGGCCGCTGCGTTCTGTCAGTGTGGGTACGCCACCAAGCGCCGGGCCACCTCTGTTCCTCCCTGAGAAGACAGAACCACATAAGTTATTAGGAACCCGGGCAAGCTCTATTACTGCAACACACCTACAATGTTGGGTTTTTAAACAACATTTACATCTACATTTGTGTGTAAGCTGTTAAAGCCAGCAACTCCCCATCGGCCTAATGGTCCTGAACTGCCTAAATTAGCATATTCCAGAGAAAGCCCTTGAAAATGTGCAGGATGCTGTCTAGGTGTCTCAGAGCCAGCAGGAATGCTTTGAAAGGACATACACTATGGGTCCATTTAGGAGTAGACAAGTCTAGCAGGTCTCCTGCCCTGACCAGCATATGGAATCTGCCTGTATCTTAGCAGATGGCAGAAAGAATTCACTGTCTCTTCTTCAAAGCATGTTAATGCTGAGCAAGCTATCACTACTGCCTTGATCAGACTCTGACAGGAAGTACAGCAGTCATTAAGGACTTAAGCTAGGTTTCTCATTTTGAGAGCTGTTTCTGAACAGTTTTTTTCCCTTTGTTGCTGGAGTACCCTATGAACATAGGGCTTGAACCTTGTGCTCTTGTGTTTAGCTACTGATTCTATGAGTGGGTTCCAGTAGAGACTTCAGTGATTGAAACTGTCTCCTAAATAGTTAACTTGATTAAACCCACTCATTCATATATTCATTGATCTATATTTTGCTCTTTTGCTTTTCCTTGTCTAGCATGTATAAAGTCCTGGGGTAAATCCCCAGCACTGGGAAAAAGACAAATTGGTTCCAAATAACTAAAACCCTATAAGCTTCCAATTTACATTAACTTACGTTCACTCTAGGCACCAAAAGAAAGGACAGGGTTGGAATGATGGAACAGAAAGACAATGGAAATAGCAACATGAGGCCTAGAATCATTGCGGGGGTGTCCTGAGTTATAGTTGTCTCATCTTTTGGAGAGTGTAGTCACTTTAAATACCTGAGTTGTGGTCCCTTCCTTTTATCTGAGTGGTTAATATTTGGGACTCAGCAGAGAATAAACAAGCTCTCTGTGACTTGTATTCCTCAACCCCTTTCCTATCCCTGGACTTCCTGCCTTCTCTTCTACCTTTCAGCTACTGTAGGATGACATCCCCTCATGAAAAGGGACATTTGTCCTCCTTTTTAATAGGAGCAACAGTAGGAAGGATTGCAAGCTAAATGGTGTAACTGGGTGATTCAGGGCACAGAATGCTTGACTTGGCTCATACAGACACTTGAGTGCCACCTCTGCATAGCTAACTCCAAAATCAGATATTCATTGGCTACAGGAGGAATACATACTATGGAAATTAGCAAAGGTGATAAATCAGAGCTTACTGATTTCTTTTTTGGTACCAGGAATCAAACCTGGGCCTCATAATTGCCAGGCAGGCACTTACTAATTAATTTTCTTTCTTTTTTTGTCTTTTTGAGACAGGGTCTTGTTATGCAGTTCATGCTGGCCTTGAGAACTCACTTTGTAGCCCAGGCTGGTCTCAAACTTGGAACAGTTCTCCTGCATCAACCTCTTGAGTGTTAAGATTACAGGCTGTGCCATCATGCCTGGCTCAATATTTATGTTGTAGCTGCTAAAATGTTTTTCTTGCCAGTGGGGAATTTTTCAATCCAATTTTACTGGTTCATTTTTATAGTGATCAAATTCATCATAATTTGTACCTGTACATGATGTAACATTTCTTTTGCTTACTCTTATCTTTCTTGTAAAGATAGCCAGAAAGATCTCTAGCCACACTTGGGCAAAGAAAAGGGTGTTGACAGCATCTGTAAGACAGAAGACCCTACAACAACAACACATGTCTGGGAGCAGGCTTGGCTATGGGCTTAGTTCTTCCCACATGGACAGCCAGCCTCTGTCAGTCCTGACATAGTCTGCCCTGAAGGCTCTTAGCAGGGCATGTGTCCCCTCTAAGGGGACTAATGGTACATGGGTCTCCAAGGCCCCCATCCTGTTTTTTTTTTCTTTCCTAAGAAACAATGCCCTTGGGGCTGGAGAGATGGCTCAGTGGTCTAAAGCACCTACTTAGAACAAGCTTAGCAAAGCATCAGGGACAGCGGTTCAATCCCCCAGCACCACATGCCAGCCAGCCCTGCCCCCTGGTGGGCTGAGCT